TCCTTCAACAGAATTGGGAGGTGGTGAAGGCTGCGGTGATGGGAGCATTGGATTCTTTTTATCTGCATGGTTCTTTTGAGGAGAGCCTCAACGCTTCCTTCATCACTCTTATTCCCAAAAAGGGCGGAGCATGTAAGGACTTTAGGCACATTAGCCTTGTTGGGGCGGTGTATAAAATTATTGCAGAAGTCTTAGCCATTCGGTTGAGGAGAGTTCTCGATGGGGTGAACTCGGACTCCTAGAATGCTTTTGTTGGAGGGCTCCAAATTCTGGATTCGGTTTTGATTGCTAGTGAATGCATTGAGGCTAGGGCAAGAAGTGGTATTTCGGGGGTTGTATGCAAGCTGGATATCGAAAAGGCTTATGATCATGTTTTGCTAGAATTTTTCGATGTACCTGATGGAGAGAATGGGTTTTGGGCAAATGTGGAGGGCTTATATTTTTTTTAGTATTTTGACTACTCGGTTCTCTGTTTTAGTGAATGGATCCCCAGCTAATTTTTTTGCTAGTTCTCGTGGCTTGAGGCAGGGGAGCCCTCTTTCCCCAATCTTGTTTATTATCGTCATGGAGGCTTTTAGCCGTCTGATCGGAAGGGCGGGAGATCTTGGGTTCATTCATGGATTCTCGGTGGGTAGAGCTCCAAATCAATTAGTCATCTCTACTTATCAAAAAAAAAAAAAAAAAAAAAAAATCAATTGGTCATCTCCCACCTGCTTTTTGCGGATGACACCATTGTTTTTTTGTGATGCTAGCCTCCTTCAGTTGAGGTATTTAAGGTGTGTGTTGGCCTGCTTCCAAGTTGTTTCCGAGTTGAAGATTAACATTGTGAAAAGTAAGATTGTACCAGTTAGGGACGTGGATGATATTCATGCCTTGGCGGATACTCTGGGGTGTGGTGTTGGCTCTCTTCCGATCTCCTACTTGGGACTCCCTTCGGGAGCCTCGACGAGGAAAGTTTCTGCATGGGATCCGATTGTTGAGCGGTTTGACAGGAGGCTTCAGGTTGGAAGAAGCAATACTTGTCCAAAGTGGGGAGGGTTACTCTTATGAAAAGCGCACACTCAAATCTCCCAACCTATTATATGTCGCTCTTTCCGACACCTAAGACAGTAATTTGAAGACTCGATGAGATTCAGAGGAAGTTTCTGCAGGGCGGTTTAGGAGATGAGTTCATGTACCACTTGGTTAACTGGGAGAGGGTGTGTTCTCCTATTAATAATGGGGGTTTGGGGATTAGAAGGCTAGATGTGTTTAATAAGGCGTTGTTGGGCAAGTGGTTGTGGAGGTTCGGGGGAGAAAGGTCCAAGCTTTGGAGGCGTGTTATAGCTTGTCATTACAGGGATGGTGATGGAGGGTGGATTTCTTGGGAGGCTAGAACCCTAGCAGGTATGGGCTATTGGAAACTAATCCATGGAGGTTGGAATGAATTCTCCAAACGTATTCGGTTCAAAGTTAGAAGCGGGAGTAATGTCAGGTTTTGGGAAAACAGATGGTGTGGGGATTCGGCTTTAGCTAATAGATTCCCTCGTATTTACCTGATTGCTGTTTAGAGATGATGTGGTCGTTGACAATTATTGTCTTGATAATGGGAGGGTGACTTGGGATGTACAGTTCCATAAACAATTTCATGATTGGGAACTTTTGGAGGTTACAGACTTCCTAGCCTTCATTTATAGACAAGTGGTGGTCGAGGTGGGCATGGACAAGATGTTGTGGGTGGGTACCCCGAGAGGGGTGTTCGAGGTTAAGTCCTTCTACAAATGTATGTTAGAGCGTCTTGCCCCTTGGAAAGCCATTTGGAGGACGAAAGCTCCACCGAAGGTGGCATTCTTCTCGAGGACTGTTGCTTTGGGAAGCATCCTTACTATTGGTACCCTTAGAAAAAGAAGTCATATTGTGGTTAACAAGTGTTATATGTGCAAGAAGATGGGAGAATCTATCAACCAACTCCTTATTCATTGCTCAGCGGCTAGGGATGTTTGGGCTATGTTTCTGGTTGCGTTTGGTCTTCCATAGGAGTTCTCAGAATCCACGGTCGACTTGTTAGAGACTTGGAAAGGGTGTATAGTGGAGAGCCAAGTCAGAGATGCTTGGAGGGCCACTCCCATTTGTATTTGGGGGGGTCTGTGGTGCGAAAAAAATAGGAGATACTTTGAAGGAGAGGAGTCTCCCATTTGGGCTATTAAATACAATATTCTTACTTCTTTATTCTTTTGGGTAAATGGGCGGGATTGTAATTCAATGGATTTTCTTTTGGATTTTGTGGATAGCTTAAAGCTATACTGTCAATTTTGATCGGCTATTATCTTCTTTGGGAACGCTCCCCTTTTGAGCATCTTTTATAAAAATCTTACTTATCAAAAAAAAAAAGGTGATCTGGTATGTATAGAGATTCAATTGCAAGAGTTCTGTCATATGTTAATAAACTAGTGATATTCCTTAAAAAGTAGGATTACACCAAGGTCCATAGTTATTTACAATGGTTTTAGATAACACAACAGAAAATTACAAGGAAACATTCCATAAGGCATGTTGTTTGCCAATGACATAGTGCTACTAAATGCTTTTGAGGAAGCCTTAAGAATAAAATTAAAATAAAATAAAAAAAAATGGAGAAATACATTAGAGTTAGAAGGCTAAAAAGTTAAGGACTAAAGCACAACACATGGTAAACACAATTTAATAAAGATTCAAAAAGTGACAACATAATGATGAAAATTCAAAACAAAATGATTAAAAATATCATTTTCAATACTCAAGATCTTATGATCTGTAACACAAAAGCAAAGGGAGATAGATAATGATGTGAGCAGGTTAGACAAAATGGAGGTAGGTTTTATGTTATAAAGAACATCAAACAGGTTTTAGGAAAAATATACAAAATGACTATTAGGTCTGCTATCATATATGAAGCAGAATAGTACGAGATTTAGAAGGGAAAAAAAGAAAGGGGAAAAAAAAAAAAAAAAAAAGGAACAACGACTTCATGTGCTGCAATGAGAATGTGGAGATGGATGAGAGGACTGACCATAAGAGATCAACATATGAGTGACAAATTAGGTTTGACACCTATTAATCACAAAATAAAAGTAAGTAGTCTCCGGTAGCATAGACAAATACAACATAGACCTGTAAGTTCACATAGAAGGTAAGAGACAGAGAGAAACCTCACCACATCTCAATAGCGTTATGAGTAAAGCTATATAATGGGTATTATCAACGATTTCCACATAAGGCGGTGAGATGATATCATATTATACGTAAAAAATAAATAAATAAATAAATAAAAATAAAAATAAAATAAAGTTCTGATAAATCTGGAAGCACCGACAGAACCGGAAGCGCCCCTTGTTTCTTACTGGGAAAACTAGCAAATTAGGCACACGATGATCTTCCCTTATTTAGCAAATTTTTATATATTCCTCTCTCCATCTTCTATACCTAATTTAGAATAAAGATCATCATGTGCTCTATATTTAGCTTCTCTAGAACTTCTTCAACTTCCTTATTAACATTTTTTTTCCAAAGGTATAACCATTTTGTATTCAACTACCCATCTTTCGTACCCAATCCGCTTTGTATGCCCAGTCTAAATTTATTGAAACATTATTTCATTATTATAAATCTGCAATAGAATTTATGCAAACCCCATGTATTACAACATTCTCCGAATTGCAGAAAACATGGACGATACCACACAATAGAAAATAGAAAAATAGTTCAAAGCATGTTTCAGATGCTAATCATATAGCCCAATCACTCACCTGTTCAACCTCAAAAACAACCAAGGTGAGCATGTGAATGCTTATCCAAGAACTTGATGATACTGCAGCTGTTTTACCGGAATAAGGAAGCCTAGGAAAAATACCAACATTGATAGGTTTGGTAAAACAAACAAGACATTCTCCTATAAGTATTAGGTTTAAGCCACCTCGTTATCGCAAGACATTCTTGTGATGTGCCTCTCCCCTCTTCGAGGCATGGATTCAAAAGATATTAGTGAGAATGACATATCAAGTTCCAAATTAGTCCTTTTTTCAAAATTTACATTATTTAGTTTATCATTGTTAAACCTAAATCATTAACTCAAATTGTCCTGTTGGAGTTTCACATTTATGAAGTATATGCAACCTGGATGCAAGTGAAAATTGGGTCAAGAAGCTAAACAACTTATAACTCTACTATCTGTTTAAAACATCTGCTTTAGAGAAGATTAGATTCACATTATAACATACCGACCAAGTTTTACTGCTAAAAAATTACTTATAAAAATAAAATAAAAAATTACTGCCAAAACGTTTGAGGCTTTAAAAGAATTTCAGTTTATATAACATCAAAGGCTTTCCATATATTTCTCTAACCTTTAAAAGGAACTACTGGAGAAAGTTCGGCACCACCAAGAACACAGTAGTACAAGAGATGTGCACCCAATTATTAATACGTAAAATTAGGTAAAGATTACAGCCAATCCACAATAGTCTCTCCACTTGAATAATAAAAATATATTCAACAAAGCATACAACCAGGACAAGGCCAAATAATCCAATATCTCCGCACCATATTGCAAGATCAACTTTCTTCAAACTCAATGGGAAGCTTTTAAACCTACTAAAATATACTAACAAGGAGCAAAATTTACAATGCGTTCACCCAAACCACACAGCATCCAAAACCATGGAATGATGGTCTCTGATCAATTTGAAGGAAAATTTGGACCTAATGATCAGCAAAAAGATATAGCTGCGTGGAAACTATTTGCATGTCATAAATACAATGAGCAACAAATATGAACAAAATGATCATGAAAACTAAAAATCATGACATAGTGGAGCAAACATATTTAAGTGCAAAGGTAAAAAGAAAAAGTGAATTAGCAGCAGTTTCAAGCAATCAGCAACAAACCATGTAAACAAATAACAGAACACTTGGATATGAGCAAAACACACTAACATCAATAAGCTAAGAAAAAACCCACATTATGAAAATTAAAAGTCACTCACCAGGAACTACTTTAAGAGGATCTTCCTTCGGATCAGCGGCACAAACATACCTCTGGCCCTTATACCAAACCAATTGAGGAGGTTTCGGCGCAAAGGAGCTTCCTTCTGGCAAGTTAATGTAGAACCCAATAACATCACCTTCCACATACCCTTCCTCCCCATACTTCTCTCTCAAAGCCTTATGTATCTTACTTCCATCAATATCCCTATACCCAAAACTATTGGCATCATACCCAACCGGTGCCTGCAAGTCCCCTTTCTCATTCGACCACCCGAGCCTCGTATGCCCCGTCTCCCCCAACTTCACAACCCTAATTTCAAAGTACCAAGCACCCTCCACAACCCCTCTTGTGGCCCTCACCATTCTGTACCCTTTTGTACTACCAGCACTCAATCTGTCATCGCTCAATTCAACTTTCTCAGCTTTGTACACCTTCGAAAGACAGATTTGCATCTCTGGGGTGTCATCAGTTTTGTCGGGGAATCGCGGGATAGGGGTGATTAACACTCTGTCCTCAGCAGTTTGTGCATTGTGGGTATTATTGTTCTTGGTTTTCTTTTTGCCTTTCCTCGAAGTCGGTTTCGTCCATACATTGTTGTTCTTCTTCTTCGATTTCTTCATCGTCGTCGTTGTGGTTGCAGAAATTCTCGTTCTTGCGGATTGTGGTGGAGTGGGTGTTACTGCTTCAACGGCCAATCGCTCTGCTTTTGAGGGTAGTTGTTTTCCTGGTGCTTGTGGTGTCAACGACGAGAGTTGCTTCTGTTTCTTCGGCGGAGGGTCGTCTTCGTCATCGTCGTCGTCATCGGAGATTTCCTTAAAGTTGGGTGATTTTTTGAGGTCCTTCTCAGAGATCTCGTCGTCGGATAGGTCTTCGGAGGCAATGGGTTCCTCCTTGATTTCATCTAGATGTTCGGTCTCCGTATCAGGAGTTGTGGCGGCGACACCGTCGGTGGTGGTGGCTAGGGTTGAATCGGCAACGCCATTGTTACCGTTGGTGGTGTTGTTGGAAGAATCGTCCTCGTCGGTTCTGTAAGTGGCCTGAATGGTGTCCATTGCTTAGAGAGAGAGTGAGCAAATATATATGTATATATATAGATAGATTTAGAGAGAGAGAAAGAAAGAATTGGAGGGAAGGTTTTGTTTAGGGTATGTAAACTGAAATCGTCATTCTAGATTGGTGTGTTCTTGCCTCTTGGTAGCGTCGGAATATTTATGCTTAGATCAGGTTCTTTATCAGTGGGCTTTCGGATTTGGGCTTCGGCCCTTGTAGTCGGCTTTCTTTTTTGGGCTAATTTGGCGTTCGTTTTAAGGGTGCAACTATAGTCCAAGCTCAATTCCTTTTAAAAAAAAAAAAATTTATTTTCTCTCTTTTTTTTTTTCTTTTTTTTTTTTCACATAAGTGTTCAACAGTCCAAGCTCAATTTAGCTCATATTTAAAATTTTGAGTTTTAAATGAAAATTTCTGTTTGAAATAAGCTGCATTCAGATTGATAATCTTTTAGGTTGCATGATTTTACTATTTCAAAATTACAAAGTATTAAAAAAATTCTTTCAAAATAACAATTGATAAACAAATAAAACTCATATATTATTAATTATAAGTGTTTGTATGTTTGCTACACACACATCATGTGTTGGGTAGTACTTCAAACGGGGGAACAAACTTTTTTAATGAATGAGAAAAGTATGGGAATTTAAGATTTTTGCTTGGAGAGCCAATATAAAAAGAAATATCAAATTACTATTGTGAAAATAAAATTTTAAAATTATATTTAAATGAGGGCGAGCCTTGGCACAATAGTAACAGTTCTACGTATAGGTCACGGCTCAAAATCGACACATTCTCTCTCCACATGCAGGTAGTTTACTATTTGTAGAAAATAAAAGCTGAAATGATACTATTTCTCTCAGAGGGGTCAGGACTGCCTCTATAAAAAATTGGCCAATATTTAAATTTTAAATATTTTTTTACCATAGAAGTTTTAATATATATTCTTAATAAAAAAAGATAATCAAAGAGAATATTTATAAATAAAAAATCTTCATCAAATGAGAGGCATGGATATGGAATTAAGTTTAGTATTTATTTTTTATTTTTACCTTCCAAGGAGGAATTCGAATTGCCACAAGTAAATTTTTTAGTACTTGGATCTTACTATTTGTATGTACCTACACACACACACGACACACTATTGTTAAAAGTGTGTAAATTTTTTTATACATTTTAATCACTTTTTATACATTTTTTTTTTATCAATAACATTTAATATCACAATTTCGACTAAGATGTATTAAGTTTCTATTGAACCTTTTATCTTTATGTCATATACTTGAACAAGCCAAAAGTTTCAAAAACTTCAATCAAGTTTCAACACAAATTTGACTTTAGAGTGTCAGATTTCGACTCATACATTTACTAATATAACTTCTGTAGATACCTGATTTTTAGGAGGGTTCCAGATTATCACAAAATAATAGATGGTGAGGTAAATCTTGTAACATGATGGAATCCGAGGTGGATTGAGAGAGATGGAACTGTGGAAGCCCAGGCAAACAAGAGAGAGAGAGAGAGAGATGGCAGTGTATATAGAAAACACCATTGACTCCTTGATCCATCTTTTAGGGGTTGTGAAGACAACCCATCTCAGAGAGAGAGAGAGAGAGAGAGAGAGAGAGAGAGAGAGAGAGTTTAGAGCTCTCGATCTAAGAGGAATTTTCCTCCTTGTGTCTGCCCTTTTCTTGGTCTTAGGTTATTTCCTTCTATAGGCCAAGTGAGTGTGGGTAATGTCATCAATGACATCACAAGGTCCATTAACAGAATAATTAAAAGAGATTAATTTCTCAAATAATTATAAAGTAACGTTAAATAAGATGGAATTAAATGCTCGGGAGTCAAGATGGTATTTTTCTCTCTGCAAGTCAGGCCGAGTGTCGACTCGGCGAATCCTGGACTTCAGCCACCAAACCAAAGCCTCCTCAGATCCCAGGAAATCCTGAGTTCTGCTCCCAACTCAAGTCTTTGTTCTTCTGTTCGAAGTATGTTAATACCGTGGTAACTTTGACCATTGACCATGTTATGTGGGCCATCACTACAGATGTGACGTAGCTCGTTGACCGAGATACGTAGGCCATTGTTGATGATGTGGCGTTTGCCATGTGGACTCGAAATATAGGTATCACAACTTCTAACCCTTCTTGCTTTATAAAAAAAAAAGGTTTCAACACAAATTTTATTCATTTATTATTTAAAAAAAGAAATTGGTTACTTATGCTTTATGTGAAGGATACAAAAATCAAATGTCTGTATGACCTTATGCAACCATAGTACTATTAGAATTAATTTATTATTGTGTTTATTACTCGTAGAAAATACCACTAAGTAACATACGGTAAAACAGTGAAGTAATACTGCTTTCCATCTATTAAAATTTAAAATTATTCAAAACCATTGCAATATTAAACGAAGAGTAATTATAGTTTACTTTCATCAAACATCAAATTATATATACTTTCATGCATTGACTGTGTGTTTTTTTATTTCTTCTTTCCCTGTATAGATATATCCTTGTGAAAATTAAATTGACAAATAGACACAATGATACTCTTAATCACATGCATTGTTAATTACAATGATACTCTTAATTACAAGACAGAAAATTGTTACCCCAAAAAAAAAAAGAGGAGAGAGAGAGAGAGAGAGCTGAATACAATGGAAGAAATGATTATTTTTTTATTTTTGGGTAAACTTTTACAGGGCACAGTGCCATACAATCAGCAGCAGCTGAGCATAGGCGCAAAATAAAAGCAACCTAAATGAACTCCACAAACAGCAACATCATCAGCTAAAGCTGAGTAATAGCAAAATAAAATCACCTAACTAAAAACCTCTACAAACCGCAACATCAAGCATGATACAAACATATGCACAGAGTTACACCAAGCAAATCAGAAGCATTTCAACAAGAGAGTATAGTCCATATTCCATCTACCTTCAAGACCCCTTAGAGCAAGCTTGGGATAGAATGTAATTTCCAATCTACAACAATCCTTCTAGACAGTTGAGTGTGTTTGAATTGGATCGTAGCAAGCTTAAATCTTATATTCTCTCTGATATTCTTCGACACTAGCTGAGGAGCCATTGATTTACCCCTAAAAGCTCTCTCGAATTCCTTTCCATCCATCTTCGTGAAATAACTTAATTGAGTTCCTTTGGGATGCCCAGTGAGTAGCAAACCAATCAACTAATTCATTCCAAGAGCTGGGCAAAATGTGGAATCCAAGGAGGTGAAGAAAATAGGAGAGGATGTATTGTGTACAAGGACAATGGAGCAAGAGATGGTATATGGACTCGACTTGAGAAAGGTATAAAAAACAAGCTTTAGGAATCAGTTTGGATGCAAGTGATGCTCTGCCAACCAAAAACCAACCATCGCGAGGAACTTGGCCATAGAAAAACCACAAAACCCAACAGCCAGTAACCCTAGAGGCATAAAAAACAAGCTTTAGGAATCAGTTTGGAAGCAAGTGATGCTCTGCCAACCAAAAACCACCCATCGCAAGGAACTTGGCCATAGAAAAACCACAAAACCCAACAGCCAGCAACCTTAGAGGCATAAAAAAAACAAGCTTTAGGAACCAGTTTGGATGCAAGACTTGTGATGCTCTGCCAACCAAAAACCACCCATCGCGAGAAACTCGGCCATAGAAAAACCACAAAACCCAACAGCCAGCAACCCTAGAAGGGTGAAGAACCTAAGCATGGCAAGCAAGGCACTAGTCTCGGACAGCAAAACACAGCCAAAGAAAAAGGGAGGAAAAAAAAAAAAAAAAAACCATCATTTACACACTGAGATTGGGATATATCATTCCCCTTTGCATCCAAATTCTCTCATTCAACAATCTTCTTGCTTCAGCAGAAATTCAACCGGCTCGAACTCCCATGCAAAAGGAGAGGAAGGTTGAGAGTCCTGGTGTAATGGAGACGATTGAGGAGAGTCCCAGTTTGTTGATAACACCAACATATCAGAGAATTCAGACATGGACAATTCCACTGGTTTTGGGTAGCAATGGGGGCTATCAATATCAGTCTGCAAAACAGAAAATAAAAGAATAATTTGTCATCATGTACTAAAGTTTCATTAAATTTGGACAACATATCTATACACTATAAATGGAAACGTAAAATACAAAATACACACACACCTTTGCTGGTCTAGACTCAGGAAATTCAACAGATGATACCGAATCTGCACAGGGGAAAGTAAGCTTTAATCCCATGGGTCATGTCATATCTTCAAGTACTACTACTACTTAGCAGCCAATATACAAAACTATACCAGAACAGGTGACATCAAGATTTTAAATGAAATGAGAAACTCCACTATGGTGAAGAATAACCTTTATTAACCATGCTGGGGCAAAAATACGTACATAATTTAGAATATCTGATTGATGAGGTTGGCATGACATTACATTCATGAGAAGAAGGGACCCTCCCGCCCATTTACCTAAAGTGTGCTTTGCTTTGCTTTGCTTTATATAGTTTGCATCATTCTCAATTAATTACTCTATCTCATAAAGTAATATGTAACCCTACTCATATAATGTGTTTATGTTTTTTAACAATGCAGGCTGTTGTTATATCTATCGAAGATAATAAATTCAGTATGTAAGGTATGACTATGAAAAGAGGAAGAAGCCGAGCTACAAGAAAAATCCCCACTACTAACATAGTCGCAGCATGTATAAGAGCCTAAATAGGAGTAGGCCCTTCCATGGCATCAGCACTGCATTATAGGTAACCAACCATACATGAAGGGGGAATTGTGCAGATTTAGAAGCTGCATCAGAAAATTATACATGTTCCCAACAGCCTGTTTGAGATTGAAAGTGATCCATTGTTTAAACTAAGCACACAGGAAAGTCCAGTGATTTTAAGTTGTAGTGGTTTTAATTCATGCTTTCATTAATTTTTATTAAATTCGCATCATCTACTTGCCATTAGCATTTGTCCAATAATTATACAATAATAATATATTAATTCTAATTTAGCAAGTGGTCTTTCATTCTAATTTAGCAAGTGTTTTTTTGCCAATGTGGCAACATGTCATATGCTAGTGTATGATCGTTGCCTATAACACACCCATTTGATGTAACATGAAATTAATGGCAAAGTTTGGTTATAGGTCATGGCATGCAAAGTAAAGAATTCGAACAAGATCTCAACCATGTAATTAATTTATTAGCCAAGAAATTAAACCTACGAAGGTCCATCAATTCTCTATGCACAGAACAAAAAAGGTAAAATTACTAGAACAAAAAAGGAGAAACTGTCTAACTTTTAAGTATAGAAACACAAGTGGCATGATAACCATGTTGTAGAGAAAAGACATCAAAAAGCTGATGAGTATGAATAAGTTACCATATCCTGGAAGAACGGGGTCCCAGAAAGGTGGTCTCATTGCTGCTACTTGAGCTTCAATGCACTTCTTGTGTGAATGCAAAACCATTTCCTGAGCAATATTGAGCTCCTCTTTGGGAAAGTTCTTTTTCTTTGATGAAGCCTCGCGAGGAAGTGATGACTTGTTTGTAATCTCTTTTAGAGCTTTGCGATTTCCGAAGCCTGGTCCACCTTTGTTAAGAGTGGGCTGCTTAGAACTCTTAAGAGCTTTACGATCCTGAAAAATTAGCAACCTGCACACAAATAAGAGTTTTTACCCTAGAAACCTCAATAACTTTAAAGAAAAAATAGAAATAAGATACAGAACAGAAGAGAGAGAAACCTAAAACGTCAAAATCATAAACCAAGGAATCATTTTTGGTAATCAAACACAAAGAATCATTAATCAATCAAAAACAGTAATAAAACAGGTTAAAGAAAATTCATGTCTTGAACTGCAATATGCTTTACAGAAACAAAAACACCAAAAATGAAGTAAATGAGAGAATGTGATCCATTTTTACAAAACCACAAACTTAAAAGGTATTAAATAAAAGAAAACAAAAATAACCAAAACCCTTGAAATATTGAATCATTTAGAAATGCATATAAAGGCTAGGAAATCAGAGGTTTTACCCTGAAGCTACAGTACATAAGAGAATGTGATCCATTTTACAAAAACACAAACCCAAAAGTACATAATCATAAACCCTAGGAACAATTAATCATTCAAAAGCAATAAAATCAAGATCAAGAAAATTCATTCATAGGTTAATTTGTAATATGCATTATAGACAAAATCATGGAAAAGAAAAAAGGATGAGGAACCAGAATTCTTGAGAAATTGAACGATCTAGAAAGACAAATAACCAAATGCATATAAACCCTAACCAATCATAGGGTTTTTTTTTTTCGCGGCCATAAGAGGATAAAAGAAATTGAGACGAATTCAACCCTAAACCTAATTTTAGAGAGAGAAAAACATACAGATGAAGAAAAATTCCCCAAACCATGAAAGATGAGATGGTAGAATTAAAAAAAAAAAAAAAAAAAAACAACCTTTGGGTATCAGCGCTCTTGGCTGTGGAGAGAGCCTGCTTCGTGGCGGGCGTGGTGTTGTTGTGGTGATGGTGGTTGTTGACTGTAATCATCTTCTTCTTATTGTTTCTGTTTTCTGATTTAAACAGTAATACACAGAGATATGAACAGATTTCACAGGAACTATAGCTAGAATCGGAAGACTGTGTGTATGTATATTATTATCGAGAGAGAGAGAGAGAGAGAGAGAGAGCGCAAAATCCAGATGGAAAGAATAAAGAATGTTTTTGACCGTTGCAGTGGCCGCGGCGTTTCTCCACTATGATAACGGTTAACCCAAATTTTGAAAGGGATATGCCCCTGGCATTTCTTCTAGCAGTCAAATAAAATGAAATTTGTTTAGGGATGTGATAACAAAATAATAATAATAATAATAATAATAGAATTAAAATTGAAAATTAAACTTTGAAGTCCTTGTAGTGAAGGAGATGGCGTGTACTCGATCAGAGTGCAGTCGAATGGTCTACCACTAGTTTCTGTCTTCTGACAAGAGTAAAGTCATAAATTTTTATTTGACTATAATCGTAGAATTAAAGATTTTCTTAAAAGTTCTTTTTATCTTCTCACTGTAGATACAAATACTTTCTTCAGAAGTTCTTTGTCATCTTCTTTCAGCAATATAAGTAAGAATATTACTTTTGAAGATATTTCATCCTATCTGTCAGATGAACTGTAAGAGAATCCCAATAATCTTCGGTGATGGGCTCTACCTCCTGATTAGGATTTTGAGCTTTGTCAGTCAAACAATGGAATGGCTTTCCTTCTTAACTGGTAGCGAACGTTATTGACGAATCATCTTGAATTTGAGATGATGAAAAACCAAGAGTATTAGCAAAATTGTTTTTCATAAAATCCATACATTTCACCATTAAATCAGTTTATGTGATTAATGGATTTTGTTTCCTAATCATTTCTTTGATTAAAGCATTAGGTGCAGCGAAACTGAGCCAATAACGTCCATCTAGAGCAGAGATTGAAAGTATCTGGATTTGACTTCCCATAGATTTGTCATCCATTCTTCATCCTGAGAATCCAGAATTAATATTGTTTGAGTATATCTTCTTTAAGAACTTCCTTAATTGTTTTCTTTTGTGAATAACCCACCACTTTATGTGGTGTTTGAAGTAGATCAAATAAATGCTCTAATGCTAGATATTGATCATCGTCAAGCAATATAGCCGTTTGGCTTTAAAATTAAAATTTGTCTTCTGAAGTTGGGTTGACTGAAGTATTAAATTGGATAATTGGGTAAGATTTATGTTTCTACATTTTTAATTAAAATTACTCTTGATTTCATATTAGTCTTCTAAATGATTAAATAGAAATGAGGTGCTCTGATATGGAAGGAATTGTGAATGGTTTTTGTTTTTTTGAATATATATATATATATATATATATATATATATATATATATTTGTTGAAGTCATTTTGGAATCATTGTTAAGTCCGAGACTTTCTTGAAAATAAAAATATTTCTTCATATGGAATCCACAAAATGTCATCTCTTCAATGCATATTGAATTTTTATTTAATTTTTCATTCGCAACAATTAATTGGTTAAGTTTTATTTTTATTTTTTCATTCTCAAAAGAATTGATGTATGCATTTAGTGGCTTGCAATTGCAATTACTCTGATTATAATTAGAAGGGATCATTGTTGTTTAAGCCAATTCATTCAAATCCATTATTATTATTATTATTATTATTATTTAATTTTTTTTTGTTGGTAAATATGTAAGCATACATATCATTAAGAAAGGTTAGCGGCAATTAGAAAATATAATACAATTCATCAAGTATCGATAATTACATTGTGATCCAATTTTAGAGAATATAGTGCATTAGTGTTAAATAAGATTTGAATGAGAATTCTTACATTCAAATTAGACTTGGAGAAACAATAAAAGTGGAAGTTAGTGTTAAATAGTATTTATATTTTAAATAGTTTTTATTCCTAGAAAATGATACTTATCAAGAAATATTTTTCTTGGTATACATTTATTACAATTTTTTTTTTTTAATTGCTCTATTGAACTTCATCTTAGTATATGGAACAAATAGATTGATAGAAAACTTATTTTTATTTTTATTTTAATTGCTCTATTGAACTTCATCTTAGTATATGGAACAAATAGATTGATAGAAAACTTATTAAACTAAGGTTCTATAATTTTTTACATAATTTTAAAGTACATATCTTAATTACCATTTGATCTATCTACTTAAATTTCAATGGCAACATCTAACTAGTAGAATTCAAGATCATTGATAAAGGAATCTCTCACTTTGTGAAATCAAATAATCTTTGAAGTACTCTTTACATACATGCACCAACAAATTATAATTCTGAATTCACATAAAACACTATATATATATATATATATATATATATATATATATATATATATATGTTACATTCAATTTAAGCAATTATTTCATCCTCCATGCAAGCCCTCAATTTCACCCCTATAATGTTAGTTCCACCCAAAGGTGAAACGTCGCAGCATTCACTTCTTCCATCCTGATCACACACACACAGATCGTCAGATGAATGTTAAATTATTATGTTTGTTTGTTTATTTTTTTTTTGGAAATCTGACCTTTTTAATTTTATTTAGGGTTTATAAAACCCTCCACTATTTTTAAATTTTGATTATAAAATTTCAAACGTTTTAAAAAAAAAACTCCTACAATTTTAAAAAGTGATCAGTTGCCTCAATATTTATAGACTCTTTAACGGGGTATTAAATAACAAATTTAATCTTACTATTTAATGTTAAATATAAAATTACAAAAATACCCTTTAAAATTACAATATATATATTTTCTTAGCTCCATTTCGTGTTGTGTAAAACAATTTCTAAAAATTATTTTCAAGATTTTCATTTGTTTGGGTTATTGCAAGATCTTTTCAAGTTTCCAGGAGGGGAAGAAAACTTGCAATCATTTTCCAAATATATATTTGGAACTCATGTCCCAACAATGAATATATATAAGGAAAAATTACATATAAATGGAGTCAAAGTTTCATATTTACTTAGAGGCTGAGTCAAAGTTTCATATTTCTCTAAAATGGATTGCTGAGGTGGCACATGGTTTTTTACTGTTTAGAAATTATGGTGCCTAAAATACCCTTCCGTGAAGGTACTACTTTTTCTTCAAAGGTACCACTTTTTTGAACTGAAGGTATTACTTTTTGGTATCCAGGTACCATATTTTTTAAACACCCGCGAAGGTACTACTTTTTCTCCAGAGGTACTACTTTTTTGAACTGAAGGTACACTTTTTTGAACTGAAGGTACTACTTTTTTGTTAGGGAAGGGCATTTTAGGCACCACAATTTTTTAAATAGTAAAAAATCATGTGCCACCTCAGCAATCCATTTTACAGAAATATGGAACTTTGACTCAGTTTCTAAGTAAATATGAAACTTTAACTCCATTTATATGTAATTTTCCCTATATATAAACACACATGAATATCTATATATATATAAATATAATTTAGAATCACCTCAGGGAGCTTCATCACTGGTGAGAGGACCTGAATCTTGGATATATAATCTGCAGAATGGTTTCCAAACACTGAACAAGCAGGCAAACCACGCGGCCATGATCGAACATAGTTGGTAACAATCTCATCTCCCCTGCCACTTTTCCCTACGGATTCGAAGAAGAAAACATGAGGAGCTTCACAGGGATCGTCGGAAGGCCATCGCGTGTCGAACCGGTAATGTGGAGGCCTCGGAGGCCGATCCTTGGACCACGGCCTAAAAGTCTCGAGGGGTTTCTTCAGAATGCTTCGAGGGAAGACGTTTTCGTAGACGTGGGCGGAGTAGCCCCATGAGATCGAAAATGACCGGTTGGTTTGCTTCTGATAGCAGATGGTTTGTTGCAGCAAGCGAGACTGGTCTACATTGGCGGCCTTCATGAGGTGGTTTGTGGATTCAATGCGGTTCATGGCGGGGAAGATGGGGTCTACTTTGTCGAAGTGGTGGAGGGAGAGCAAAGGAGCTTGTGGGTGAGCAGATAGGAGACCTGATATATCATGCAGTAAATCAATCTGCAGCAAAAGTATCAATCAATCATGAGTCATGATATTGAGACCGATTAGTTAGACTTATTTGTTAAAATAATTAAAACCATTGATTACTTAAAGTAGGCCTACTAGCGAGGAGGGACAGATTTAAGAATTCATATATGAGGGGAGACAAATTTGTATAGAGGGATTTTTTTATAACTTCACTGGAGACAATTTCAAAATTTTATATGTATAAATGTAAAAAAAATATAAATTTAGAGGTATAAAATAAAATAATAAAAAATTTCAGTGGCGGCGGATGCCCCCATAGATCTCTTCACATATTCGTGCTTGTAGTTAGGGATTTTCTTTAGTGAATGTCTAGAGACTTTATGATTGCTTTTGTTTTTTAATCGAAGTGCTCACGTCTCATGAAATCGAAGTTTTCAAAAATTCAAAAAAAGAAAAAATAAGTTTTAGAAATTTATAAAATGTCTCCCAGAAAATCATCTTTTTTTTTTTTCTGTTTTTTTTTTTAATTGAGTTTTTAGAAATGCAAGTAACAAATTTTTGTGCATCTAATTTTCAGTTCGCCAAAAACATAAAATTGAAGATCCGAAATCATTAGTCCTACTATCTTCTTTTGGGCATCCGCCCATTAGGTATTTGATTTTTCTAGGGAAATTCGAAATCACATATTTATGCTTGTAGATTAATCTCAACCAAAGAGCAAAGATTAACAAATTAATTGTAATTTCGTAAATTACCAACAAAATTGCAGTTTTGTGAAACTATGAAAAATATTATATCCTAATTTGTTTATTTTCATCAAATTATATTATTTGATTTAAAAAATGAAACAATATGCATAAGTTTCTAGAATCCATTTGCTCCGATTTCTGTTTTTAGACAACAGAAATTATTGTTTATATTTATGTGAAATTTTTTTAGAAATTGTTCCTACTTTTCAAAGGGAGGTAAGGGGTTCGAACCGGAAGCATGTATGTGTGAGTATCAACTAAAAAAACTCAATTTTATACTTTATAGAGAATTGAAGCAAAACCCATCCTGAATTTAGTGTCAACTTTATGTAATTTCAAAGTTAACGAACAATAGCAGTCATTAGCCTTCAGAGTAAAATGTTTTACATACACACGCTAGGATAGTTGTAATATCGATGTAAAGAAATTATTAGTCAGGAGTATATATATAGATAATATATATGTATACACCACACGGAGTATAAAAGAAGCATGATTACCTGATGAAGACCTTTGTGAGCAGTTAGAGAAACCCCAAAATCAGCTACACAAGACATCAAGAATTGATCAGATACACGAAGGTACCAATATCTCTCGAGGCAGTTCTCTAAATCTCTAGCCAATGCTGCCGCCAAAGGATAGCTCAAAGCAAAGCCAGCTCCACCAAACCCCATATCAAACGAGTGAAAGAAATTCGACCGGAGAGTCTCCGAATGGCCACCGATGTAGAAGTACTTAGTATGATCATACCCCGACAAAACCCCAACCATATTGTCAACGAAAAAAATGGTGTCATCGTCCCCCATAACATACCATCTCACTCCTTCTTGTTCCTGTCTAAACGCCTCCAAAATGGCGTGTACCAAACGAACCAGTATCGGTGCTACGTGCTTGCTCTCTTCTAGATCTAAAAGCTTTGCGTTGTCTTCAAAGACTCGAAAAGGAGGAGAGGACGAAGACCACGGAAAGAGGTCCTTGGCGGGAGCTCTATCTAGGTAGAGGTATCCCCGGGTGACATTAGGTCGCCACCATGTTTCGACGTAGGACTTCCTGTATCTCCATCCTTTTTCAGAGCCTAGAAGTCCGAAAACAATGTGGCTGAGATCAGTGGGAGAATGATGATCGGTAGGGTTTGGTTTCGGAGGCGTTGGCCGCGTGAACCCTAACGGGAGAAAGAAGTGGGAAGCTTGGCAATTGGGATGATCGTTGAAAAGGAAAATGGAGAACAAGTACAAGACTAGTCCTGAAATGGCCAATGTTTTGGTTAGAGTAGTCCTATTAAAGGAGTTATTGGGTGAGAATTGAAGCTTTTGTAATTGGGTTGTGCTAATCTCTGCAGACACTGCAGATGGCATTGTAAAGGATAGTTATGGAATGAAATTAATTGAAGCTTTATGTGCAAGGTTTTTATAGTAGTATAGGTTGCTTCATTTGAGCTTTTTTATTCATGTAATGCATGTGGTTGAGAGAGAGAGAGAGATAACATGGCAAATTGTCTTATTTAATTAACCATACACTGCAACTCTCTCGCTCTCTCTGTGTGTGTTAAAATTTTAAATTAATTACAGGAGGAAATTTGGGGTTGATAGAAAAATGAACATGCAACGATGTATATAATAGCAGTTGTTGAGTGACTTAAAAGTGTTTGACAATCCATGCACAGCAAATTTGTATAGTCCATACTAGTTTTGACCCTTATGATGCAAGTCATAGAAGAGAAGTTAGCTTTTAATTGAGCTGTGAATTTGAATATAAATTAATATATTATACAACCAATACTAAAATATATATTTTTTAAAATACTCATTCCCCAAATATTTAGGCAGACATTGCATCTCATGTTTCACACCTCAAGCATAATTATTAATCACTGAATAATGAACTCAAAATCCTAAGCAAGTTTTAATTAAATAATTCGACGCTTAGCATCCAAGCCAAAGAACAAGCTGTCCTTATTGGTTCAAGACCATCCCATTCCTAGTAGATATTATCGGGCCATTTGATCCAAAAACTTAAAGTATTAGGAGGTACTAACTGAATCCAACCATGGTACAAAAACCTTTCACGCCTAGAATAGCCACTGCTTTTGCGTGGAGGACTCCTAAAAAATTGCCAGAGGAAAATCAAAGTAGTTATTGGATTGCTAAAATGCAACACTTGAAGCAACAAGAAAAAGTAGCAGTGCAAAGAGACAAACCAGTGCTTACAAAAATGAGGCAACAAAAGAAAACCTTAAGAAGTTGGGATATGAGAGGAGGGCAATTTATAATATAAAAGAATGAAGCAACAAGATGGTGGTGGTGGTGGTGGTGGTGGTGAAGATGAAAAATGATTGTTTCATCCACCATGTTTGTTCTTACCGGATTATTTTCAAATACGAGTTTAAAACTCACTAAAAATCACAATATATCATGGGCAAAAAAGAAAGACAAACAAAGAAATTAAATTGAAAAAAACTACTTCAACATGTCAATCAGGCAATATGCCATCCATATGAAAAGAAGGTTCAACATGTCAATCAGGCTAGAAGCCTTCCATATATCTATAAATATCCAAAAAAAATACCCAAATATTCTTTAGACCTATAACTTCAGATAAATTCAATTGATATCCATTGACCTGCTTTTATGTGATTTCAACAAATGGGGGAAACCAGCAACTCCTTCCAAAACACTGGTATCTTAAGGGAGCAAGAAAACGGGCTCATCATTCTCCTTCATGGGCCTTTTGAATTCCTATCAAACGGGCATAATCCACCCACCTGTAAATACATTTTCGGAAGTTTCAAAAGGTGACACGTTGGAGAATACATGTAATGAAATTTCCAGAGTGGTATAGAATCTCACAGTAATGAACCCAAGAATGTGTTTCCTGTCCGGACGGCAAAGCAAATTGCACTTAGAATTATCTTGTGTTGGTGTAGCATCGGTTCTAATATTCGTTGTTCAATTACACCAGCCAGTACTTGGTACCTGTTGAACAAAATCACATCCTTTAGTAAATTGCTCTGTGGGTAATGAACTACAGTATCTTCTTTCCGGGTTCAGACTGCTCAGAATACAGTAAAGAGCATCTGGACACCCTATGGAAACTAGTCAACCAGTTGGGCCAAATAACTTCCATCCTACACTTACCATACGTGTTCGCATCAAGATATCATACTTGCTATTAGCAGTTCAAGTATGGGCATTTAGAAAGACACAGCCAAGCACTTGCCAAAAGTAGACAATCATGATAAGAAATATATCTACTAAACATAGCAATAAACCTTAACAATGTGTTAGTGACATGTATGCTTTAGTGAAGGATGGATACTTCCCCAATTGTATGCTAAGCAGCATGAATACTGCCATAGAAGTGTCACAAGTATGTCAGATGTGTGGTTTTGAGGTTGGTTTTCCAAAAAAATTGTAACTGCAAATGAAAATCAAGTCCATATAATAACAAAAAAACTTGAACAAAATTCAGAGGGGTAAAATATAACAAAAGTCATAGGAAAGGAAAGGGAGCAGGGAAGGTGAAAGGACTAACTAAATTTGTATGTATGTGTATGTGTATGTGTATGTGTATGTGTGTATTCATAGATTCATGTGTAAATCAACTACCATGTCCTCAAACATGTTCGAGACCTATTTCCTACCATTACTGTTTTCACATGTCTGCATGCTTTTGATTTTATGTCAATGCAACATAATAACAACAACAATAAAGCGTTTTTTCCAACTACTTGGGATCCACTGCATGAATCATATATTTCCATTCCTCTCCATCCAAGGCCATAGCCACAGTCAAATCCAGTGTTGTTAAGGGCTCTAGGCACACTAAGGCGCCAAGGTCTCCTAGAGCCTGAGGCGCAAGGCAAGGCGCGCACCCGAGTGAAGTGAGGCGCAAGTTGAGAAAAAATAAAAAATGACACCTAATAAAGAGCCAATAGTAAATATAAAGATTTCAGAAACTGAGAAGGAGAAGAGTAGCAACCAAAAAAAAAAAACTGATAAAAAGAAAAGGAAGAAGTAGAAACAGATTTTTGGAAAAAGAAAGAAAATAAAACAGAAGAACAAAAAAACAGGGACACAAAAAGGAGGAGAGACCGTCATTGCCCGTGGAGGAGGATCGTCTCATGTCGGTATGGGGAAGAGAGAGGTGGGTGGTCTTCATGCTCAGTCCCTAGCACAGGAGGAGTGGGAGTGTGGAAATTCATTCGGAAAGGTTGGGATGTTTATTCCTCTCATATTAGATTCAAAGTTCGAAATGGTAGATGTGTGCGGTTTTGGGAGGATTTATGGTGTGGAGACCAGCCGTTGTCTTGTTCTTTTCCTAGACTTTTTGGAATAGCTACTGATAGACATGCCTTTGTAATCAATTGCTATTGGCTTGATAGCAGTGAGATTATGTGAGATGTGCGCTTTAGGCGCTCTTTCCAGGATTGGGAGATGGATGAGGCTTGCACTCTCTTGGACATGTTGTATCGACAGGAGGTAGGTGGCATTGGAGGATTCGAGGTTCGTTCAATGTTTTTGTGTCTTTCCAATTTTGTTGGTTGTGCTTTCCTTTGGAAGACTGTTTGGCGCTCTAAGGCTCCTCTTAGGGTGGCATTTTTTGTGTGAACTGCAGTTTGGGATAAGATTCTGACATTGGATAACCTAAGGAAGAGAGGCATTATTATTGTTAACTGGTGTTGCCTATGCAAAAGTGGTGGTGAGTGTACGGACCATCTACTCTTACATTGCCTGTGGCATACGATTGTTGGAATCTTATTTTCGGATTGTTCGGCATGTCTTGGGTGATGCCCCAATCCACAAGGGGTATGATTGATGCGTGGAGGGGATGCCATGTGGGGGGTCAGGCTTGTGAATGTTGGCAAACCGTTCCACATTGTGTATGGTGGTGCATAGGAAAGAGAGGAATAATAGATGTTTTGAAGGAGTAGAGGCGTCTATGGCAACCTTGAAACTTCATATCATCCGTTCCATTTTCAGTTGGGCGAAGGGGAGAAACTGTTCTTCTTCTGACGATGTTATTGATCTCTTGGACTCCTTGGGTCCATAGATTCCTGGGTTGTTTTTGTACATGGGACGCCTTCCCCTTTTGAACGCTTTTTAATGAATTTTTACTTATCAAAAAAAAAAAAAAAAAAAGAAAAAAGAAAAAAAAAGAGGAGAGACCGAGAGAGAGAGAGAGAGAACAAAAAAAAAAGGACAAAGAGGAGAAGAAAGAAAATAAAGCAGAAGATGAAGAGAGAGAAAAAGGAGGAGAGATTGAGAGAACTGAGAACAGCAGAAGGAAAAAAAAAAATAGAGAAGGACAGAGAGAAGAAGAAAGAGCAGAAGAAGAGAAAGAAAAAGGAGGAAAGACCAAGAGAGAGAGAGAACTAATAACAGCTGAAGGAAAAAAAAAAAAAAAAACAGAGGAGAGAGAGAAGAAGAAAGAAAATAAAAAAGAAGATGAGGAGAAAGAGATTTTACCTGGTTACGGAGAGGCCTTGCCGAAGAGGGAGAGTCTTTTACTAAGAGAGCTGCTGCAATCCCCTTCGTGGGTTTTCAGATTTTGAGCCCTAACTGATGTTTTTACTTTGGTTACTTAAATTACTTTACCTTTCGATATTCTACAAAGTGGTATGGTCCAAACAAAGAAAATATCATCAAATAAGAAAGTGGTAGGGGGACACCACTAAGTATATACATTATCTAATCATCTAACAACTATATTAAAACATTCTATCAGCATAAAAGCTATATTTCAAACAGACACGCCTTTATGCGCCTTTTATGAGCCTGTCGCCTATTGCTTATAAGTGCACGCCTGTGTGTACCTAAGGTGCTGCAGGTGCGCTCGGCGCCTTAGGCGCGCACCCGGCTCGCCTTTAACAACACTGGTCAAATCACATGTAATCATATCCTTCCTAATTAACTCTACCCATATTAATGTTGGTCGTCCCCTTCACCTAGTTACCGTCAATGCAGTGTTGTTAAAGGCGAGCCATGCGCGCGCCTGAGGCCCCGGGCACATCAAGGAACACCTGTAGCGCCTTAGGTACACACAGGCGAGGCTCCTTTAAACAGGCGCGCGCCTATAAGCAATAGGCGACAGTCTCAAGACTCATAAAAGATGCATAAAGGCGCGCTTGTTTGAAATATAACTTTTATGCTGATAAAATGTTTTAATATAGTTGTTAAATGGTCAGATAGTGTATATACTTAGTGGTAGCCCTTACCACTTTCTTATTTGATGATATTTTCTTTGTTTGGACCCAGCCACTTTCTAGAATATCAAAAGGTAAAGTAATTTAAATAACCAAAGTAAAAGCATCAGTTAGGGCTTGAAATCTGAAAACCCATGAAGGGGATTGCAGCAGCTCTCTCAGTAGAAGACTCTCCCTCTCCAGCAAGGTCTCTCCCGCAACCAGGTAAGCTCTCTTTCTCCTCATCTTCTGTTTTATTTTCTTTCTTCTTCTTCTTCTCTCTCTCAAGTTTTTTTTTTTTTTTTTTTTTTTTTTTTTTTTTTTTTTTTTTTTTTTTTTCCTTCAGCTGTTATGAGTTCTCTCTCTCGGTCTCTCCTCCTTTTTCTTGCTCTTCTTCTACTCTTTTTTCTTTCTTCTTCTCTCTGTCCTTCTCTATTTTTTTTCCTTCTATTGTTCTCAGTTCTCTCAGTCTCTCCTCCTTTTTCTTTCTCTTCATCTTCTGCTTTTTTCTTTCTTCTTCTCTTTGTCCTTCTTCATTCCCCCCCCCCCCCCTTCTGCTGTTCTCAGTTCTCACTCCCCCCCCCCCCCCCCCCTCTCTCTCTCTCTCTCTCTTTCGGTCTCTCCTCCTTTTTCTGTCCTTTTTTTTTTGTTCTTCTTTATTTTCTTTCTTCTTCTTTTTTCAAAAATCTGTTACTACTTCTTCCTTTTCTTTTTCTCAGTTTTTTTTTTTTTTTTGTTGCTACTCTTCTCCTTCTTAGTTGCTTAAATCTTTATATTTACTATTGCCTCTTTATGATGTGTCATTTTTAATTTTTTCTCAACTTGTGCCTCACTTCACTCAGGTGCACACCTCACCTTGCGCTTCAGGCTCGAGGAGACCTTGGCGCCTTAGTGCGCCTAGAGCCCTTAACAACACTGCGTCAATGTGAACCATGTCACTCTTCCTAACTAGCGCGCTTAATGGTCTTATTTGCACTTGTTCAAACCATCTTAAATGATTTTCTCTCTTCATTTTTTTTTTTCAATTTGTGTTTACTTCAACCATCTCACAAATGTGTGCATTTCTAATTCCATCCTTTCTTGTCTTATTGGAGATTCATCTCAATATTCACATTTCTATTACTCACTTTTTGTATATGTTGTTTTTTTTAAACCTTGACAAGAAACACACTCACACACTCGAGTTTTCCCTATGGGGACTTGAACCTTTGACCTTCTACTTTAAAGGACAAGGAAGTACCACTAGGTTACAGCCCTTGGTATATGTTGTTTCTTAACTGCCCAATATTTTTTCCCATAAGGAATGACCGGTCTATAACTGCTTTATAGAACTTCCATTTCTATCTTAACAAAAAACACCAATCACATAATATCCTAAATGCATTCCTCCATTTAAATCATCTCGACTTCATTTTATGATTAACATAGTCTTCCTTCTCCTTCATTGTGAATAATTGAGCTTAGATGAAAAGAATTAAAATATATGTATATTCACTTTTTGGTACCTCTTGATACTAAATCTTCATTATATCCATATTCTACTTCTAGATTTACTAAACTTACACTCGATATATTCAATTTTATTTCTACTTATCATAAACTTTTCTAATTCTAGAGTTTACCTCCAAACCTCTAATTTAGCACCGACTCATTCTCTAGTTTCATCGATTAAAACAATATCATCGGCAAATAACATATACTCTGAAATCAAATCTTGAATGAGTATTGTCAGCGTATCCATAACTAAGGCAAAAATGTATGAGCTTAATACTGACCCTTGATGTAAGCCTATAGTAACTGAAAATTTCACTTGTTTCACCCCACAGTCGTTCTTAACTATAGTCACACATCCATCATACTTGTCCTTTATGGCATCTAGGAACTCTATCATAAACTTTATCTAAATCAATAAAAACCATATTAAATCCTTCTTCTCCTCTTTATATCCTTCCATATGTCTCCTCAATAAGTAAATAACCTCCATCGTCAACCTCCCCGGCCTGATCCAAATTGATTTTCCAACACTTCATTTTTCCATCTTAGTCATTGTTTAATCAGTCGCTCTCAAAGTTTCCTCATCTTAGTAGTTATCTATGCAACATAGCCGATATGTTTTTTGCTTGACATTGGAAGGAAGATCAAAAGGGAAATTATGAGGATCTAGGACAGTTAAATAATCCATATGAAGAAACTACATTTAGGGTTCGAGATGGTGCACATCTTGAGCGGATTCATGTAAATCCAGATTCAGAATAATATTTTAATTTAGTGGAAATGAGAATGTTAAGGTGGATGAGTGGAGTGACTAGAAGAGACAAGGTCACTAATGAGAGTGAGAAAAATTAGGTGTAGCGCCCATTAGTGAGAAAATTAGAGAGTAGAATTAGGTGGTTTGGACACATATATCGGAGACATAACGACGCGTTGGTAAAGCGAGAAAGACTAGTTGTTACAGAGGTAAGAGACAGAGAGGACGTCTAAAAATAACAAGGGGTGAAGTTATTAAAAATGACTTTAAAAACTTAAACATAGTAGAGAAAATGGCATGCAATAAGAGAGGGAGAGAATTCATGTGGCCAACCCCATTCATACGGGAATTAAGGCAAGGATGATGAAGATGATTTTAATGACAGGATCCATATCGGAATCCCAATCGCCTATGGACATGATCCATATCCAACCCATATAATTTAAGCTAGAACAAAATGTACTTGAACTGGGTCAGATCTCGGATAAAACCCAATCTATTAATTATCCAAATTCATATCCGAAATCTGTGATGGATCTTTCAATGAAGATCCATATCCAACTCATTTTTAAATTCGGACTCAAGTTAAAACCAAAAACATACTTGAACTGGGTCAGATCTCGGATAAAACCCAATCTATTAATTATCCAAATTCATATCCGACCCAAATCTTTGATGGATCTTTCAATGAAGATCCATATCCAACTCATTTTTAAATTCGGACTCAAATTAAAACCAACAACTTGTTAAATGGACTTCGGATTGGATCAAATCTCCGGTCAAACTTGCTGCATTTCAGGCCCTACTTATATTCATTGGTTAAGATTCATAAGCCATTACAGCCATAGAAGATTATAGAGGAAAATAAGAAAGAGGTGGCATCAGCAATGATTTAATTATACCAAAATAATGATATCAATCCAATCCAACATACCGAAGGTTGCTAGAAACTGCCATATAGACACCATAGGCAACACTAGTAGATAATACAGGCACATTCTCCAGTTCATCTGTGGAGGAGGTATCAACAGCCTTCCGTGCATTTATCAAGGCATTTGTAACAACCGTGCCAACCTGGCAAATATGAAACACATGTTATGCACAATTTCAAATTAAATTTTTTGACTAGAATACATTTGTATAGTTTTTGGAATAGAATTATAGATGCTACGATAGGCAGAATAAAAATAGAAACAGTAACTACCATTAAGAACTAATGCTGCCACCGATATTTAACTTGTTGAATACAACATATAAACATAAGCACAACTAACTTTCGTCTATAGAAATATCCATAGATAGTAAAATACAGTACGGGAAAAAGACGGATACGGAAACGTACGAGTATAATTTGATTTTTTTTTTTTTAAATACGTTAGAAAAATTCAGCTACAAAAAAAGGAAAATGTAAAAATATGAATACAAATACGTACATATATAATACTTTGTTTGAACTAAAAATTCAGCTATACACATTTTATTATTTTCCTATAAATCATATAATAAAATATATATATTACAATTGACAATATCACAATAACCATAGAAGAAATAAACTGTCTAAATATGATTAATCAATAACCATCTAGTGAGTGTAGTGGTCTACAAACTTCAAAAAAAAAAGACATTATAAAATTTAAAATATTTCAGAAAAAATAAAAATTTATAAATATCTACAAATTAACATCTACAAATATGATGATTCTCCAAAGTTTCAATGTTCCATAAAGAATATATATATATATATATATATATATATATGTTTCATTACTTTGATTAAAGACCATGCATTAGAGTGACAAAGATAAGGAATTTAGCAAAATAATAATAATAATAATAATAAATAAATAAATAAGAAGAAGAAAGATAGCTGTTTTTTTCTATAAAAGTGTGAAAGAGAATGGCCAAACAAAAGAAGATAGTTTTTGGGTTAAAAAGGTGTGTTTGAGAAAAATACACCATTAGAAACGTGGAAAAAAAAAAAAAAATGGTTATGAGAAAATATAAAACACGAATTAAACGGTGACCCAAAAGTATTAAATGAATAAACGCGTTCCATACGAGGTGTTAGAAAAAAAATGCATATTTTTACCATATCTTTCAAACCTGAACAGCAAACGGAAGTACTATCCAAAAATTCTTATGTACGTGAATAATTCATGTATCATACGCAAATTTACAAGTTAGGGGCAATATCTAAAAGTAATAGCCAATAATAAGAAAGTATAACATGAAAGTTAAGATGTTGAAATATTATATATCTATAGAGAGAGAGATGGATACACAGAGAATACCAGTTTTTCAGTCAATCCGTGTTTGAAAAAACTGCACAACTACTAATGGTTACTAGTGAAAGACCTAGGCAGTTATCCACTATATCATGTATAGAACACTGTTTTGGTGGAGATTAAGAGCCTCCTTGGTATTCAGAGGAATCATTGTGCCGTTGAAAAATAGGGCTTTTGAGCAATTTAACCCAAAAAAATAAACAAATAAAAGGAAAGTAAAGCCAAAACAAATAAGAGAACAGGTCCTATATTTCTCTGTGAAAGAATGTACAGATAATAGATATGGTGGCTGTGGAAGATGATAATGATCTTGTAAGGGCCACAAAATTAAATACAGTCATCATATCACGTGACTCATCCTTAAATCTCAACTCTTAGAAACCTTTCACGCCTGATCTACAAAAGGTGGATTGATTAGCAAAAGCACCCCAAAGCAATTTCAACGCTACATAGATACTGTCAAACCCTAAAAGGAGGAAGCAGTATAAGACAGAGACAGACAGATAGAGAGTGAGTTCTGGAAGAGGCAAACTGATGTTAGACACGCAGGTTCTTTCTTTTTCACACTATGTTAGGTTAATTGTTTATTTTCCCAAATTACACAAATGCAAAAGGTTTAAATGGAAATGTAGGGGCAACTTCTGGCTAAGAACAGGGAGGCTGATAACCTCCACTAAGCATAAAATGACTATTGCCTATCTATGCTTAGTATCATTGATTAGGTGCATGGAAAGCAACACGCAGGGAAATCCAAAATGATTCAACAGGTACAAATGAAATATATTGAAAATAGAAACCAAAAAGGATTAATCATCTTACAATAACGCAAGTAAAAAATGTTACCAAAAAATTAAATAAAAATATAAAAACAACTCCTTTTAGGTTTACTTTCATTTAAGAAACATACTTTGGTTCTATGCCTAAGGCACTGACCTCTAGATTAAAGGAAATCCTTAAGGTGCAATGCACGTCCTTCATAAGAACCTCACAGTTTGAGCAGTAAGCTCCATTATGTAAGCCTCAGAGTTGATTTCTTATTCCTTTTTTTCCCCCTTCTGCCACATGGCAAGCGTTAAATGATCATATTTCCATTATACATAGGCCAGAAATTTGATTGAACTTATACCAACCATTGTGCAAGCCTGAATTGAAGTGCTTGCACCCGTAGTGTTGGCTTGGTTTGGGGAACCTATCTAACCCCTGGTAGGATTAAACTCACATCGAGTCTACAGTGATCTAATCCCATCTGAGCACTAAAATATGGTAAGGATTGTGGAGCTGCTAAGAAACCACATTCAGAAATGAAATCGTCTGAGATTGTTCTAGAATTTGCAACAAATAGTGATAAATGTGGCTAGATGCAGGATTCATTTGTTCAAAGCTGTCGAATCCAAAAGGACAAGAGGTAAAAGTAAAAAATGTGGGTCAGGTCAGAGATAACTGACATGATTGGCAATGGTATAATGGTCGACGATTCCAGATAGGCCCCGTGAAAAGGTGGAACAAGAAATTAAACAAAAACAAGCATGTTAAAACTACCCCACCCTTACTCTAACCATCTGACCTTGGGTTGAATATCTTGAATCCTAACAAAGTTTGGGATGAACCTGTTCAACATTTTAGATAGCATTTATGTTGGCCATCAGGCGTCAACCCTACTTAACCAAAAAAAATCCAGTGCTAAGCATGCTAATAAATTCAACATTTTTAACACATTAATCTACCCAATAAATTAAATGAAAAGACCAGCACAGGAAAGATCCTCCATGAAGGAAATAAGAATTTCTCAAGAGTACAGGAACTTTAATTCATTGGGAAAAAGAACACAACGATTAATTCATATGACATAAGTGGACATGCTTTACTTATCATCTATGCAGCATGGACTCTTCATAAGTAGTGAAATACCCGTAACAAACACACAATACTTGGACATGGGCATGGGATATGTGTCCAACACTTTTGGTTGGACATGCACGTAAAAAGCATATCCAATGATTCAATGTTATCATATTAATGCTTCAAAGTGAGCCAAATCCTATATTAATTAAACACTATGTAATATAAAGAAAATATTTTACTCTATAAAATAAATAAAAATAATAAATAATATGAATATTTAACAGTGTCCATGCATCCTTTGGTTTTGAAATTTGATATGTCTGACAATTGGATATATATCCGCATCCGACACATATACCCAAGTCCAAATAACACAGCTTATCAAGCAGTTCTGATTTCATATCGAAAAAATATTTACATTATTCACACATAATAAACGTAGTGCAATTTGTAAATTTGTTAACAAAAACTTAAAGGCATACAAGTAGATTGAAGAATACTTGTATTTTTGGTAGACAAGGAGATCCAAGAACATCAAAGATACGATTGAAATTAATTCATATAAGAATTGAATTAATTATTCTAGGTATAGATTTCAAATGTTAACATATAAAAAGAAGTGTACATTCTGAAATTTTCATGGTAATTTTGTAATATCACCTTAATTTCATACTTATTTTTAAACCTTGATGCTATAATCTCTGCCATTGTGCGATCAACCTATTATTAGCTCTATCAAGAACCAGGTTTAAGATTCTCAATGAAGGAGAAGACCACTCAAATTATTTTTAATAACAGATTCAAATCAGTTGCATCGAAAGCAACATGAAAGCTCTTATTGAAACTTAGTCACCTTCATCTTAAATTTTTAAATTACTTACCAATGCATGCAACTAGCAACATGAAGTGTAAAACATGAATGCCCAAGAGAGTCAACAAGAACAAGTTTTCATATGCTTAAGACATTCTCAGAAGCACCAATTAAAAAGGTTAGATAATGGCAGAATAATATCCAGAGGTAAAATAATGATGGACAGCAAAGGTAATCAATGGAACTTCCACGGACAGAGAAAATATTAAATTACCAGAGAAGAAGTAGTGCCAACTGCGAAAAGCTTTGCCCCATTACGCTGAAAACAAATTAAGACAATTAAAGATATGAGACATGTGGATCAATGTTTTAATTCTGAAATTTGAATTTTTTGATGAACATATGCAAATCAGGAAAAGATCCCTTACCACAATCGCACCCATTCTCTGTAAAAATGAAAATGATGATCCAGCCAGAGCTACCTGCAGAAAGGATTTGAAAAGCAGATAACTGTATGTAGTTTTCACCTACAACATATAATCTTCATAAAAATTTTAATCAATAGATTATCTAAACGCAAAACAGTACCTGAAATGCATTTTCAGGGCAGTTATAGAAAAACTTAGCAAGACGCCCGGCATTGAGTGCAATAGGTGGTCGGAGAGAAACAGTAGGAGCAGGAAGATAGACAAGCATGAAATCTGCAATTATGGCCATCACCTAAGCAGAAAATGAACTGGAAATATTAAGAATAGTATATATTGAAAATGTAATGCATGAAGAAGCTACATAATTGATGAATTAAAAAGTATCTATTCGAGGGTAACATATTTATGATTCTCATACAGCCTTACTTCTAAAAGCAGGAACAGATTTAACCAAATGATCTGTCCCCCACCCCCCCACAGCCCACACAAAAACAAATAAATAAAAAAGAAGACCTCATTTCGTATGAAATCTAGATTGTGCATTATCAAATATCCTCAAAATTGTTCCCTGCAAAATCCATTCCTTGCTATTTCAGAATGCACAATTGTGCCTATCAAGAAAGAGGCTCTCAAATCTTACGGAGAAGTTGATGTCAAAAGCAGAAAGGAAAAAAAAAATTATTTCAGAATTTCTTTCTTTGCTTATAAAGGATAAATTTATGTGCAAATTATAAAGAATGTCCCTTAAATAACTCTGAAAATATACAGTCAGTAGTTAAGAAATATGCCAAAAATTTTGCTGAGAAGTATTATGCTAATGGACCGATCATCTTCCATTTATGAGATAAATAATCATGTGATGAGCTTAGGGCACAAAGAAGTAGACTATGCAAATTGATTGCAAGTAGAAATTGAAAACGTTATCATACCACATCTGCAAAAACAATTTCGATTTCCTTAAAAAAATTCTCTCTGCGCCGTTCATACTCCGCAGCAGTCTGGAGAAATAAATCAAACAAGTAAAGATTATGCACATTGAGGATAACAATCTACAGACCAGATAGCATAACATTTTACATACCACATATATTGCAATGATAAGGAAGGTAGATTGAAGTGAAGTCAGAAGATGAATTAAAGTATGCAAAAGCAGTAAGGAATAAGGACTACAAGCTACTATTTTTTCAAAACCACATAAACTATATTGCAGGGAAAAGATTTGAGGGCTCTCGGCCTGGGTAGTATGACTTCCGCCTCCCCAAAAGGGAGGTCAAGAGCAAAACGAGTGTGTGTGTTGCTTACTTACCACAGAGAGAGAGAGAAAGAGAGAGGGACATTTAGAAGTTTTTGTCCCTATCGCAGGAACTATAAAAAAAATTCATTTGTAAGGCAATTACTAAGTCACTTACTACATGGACAGTAAGAATCAGAAATAGTAAGAAAATATATGAGAATGCACAGGCACACAACCCAGTCTTAACTCAGACAAGTTTTATATCTGGCCTATCAAGGCATGACTCCTATGAGCTAGAAGCTCATAAATCCCCAAAAAACAAAGCAGAAATGAAACATAGCCCGTCATGCATCAGTTATCCCAGTTTTGCTTAGCAAGGTAAGTTCATATCTCAACATTACTACATGTGTCCCTCCTTGAAAAGAAAATGGTAGGCCAGAAGAAAAACAGATAGTAGAAGTTCAAGAAACTTAGGCAGTGATGTTATACAGATTTCAAGGGATATATAGAGAAGTTTGTGTCTTAGTACGAGAATTATAAAAGATTTCATTTCATATTGAGAACTGTATTGATTCCTAAAAATGTTATGAATCTAAAGAAATTTTTTTATTAAAAGAATGTATTGAATATATATATTCAAATGTTACAGTTTCCCTATCTTATTAATACAATTTGCAGACACAAACCAAGGAATGGTATACTCTATTCATATTTTTTATACGTGTCTAATATTGAAGAAATATTCAAAAAAGAAGACCACATTGTTAACTGGAACACTAATAAGAAGTGAGAAGTGAGAACCATTATCCTGTGTGTGTGTGTATGTACAGCGAGGAATCATTCTCTTAACTTATTCTCGCACCTTTCAATTCATATATATGGGTATGTATATACACAGACACTACCCAGAAGAAGCAGCAAGAGCATATTCGTTTTCCTTCTTTTTTTGTTTGACCAGTATTCTACACCATAAAACACTATTAGCTTCATTGTTGTCGAATAAAATTTGTCTTTTTTATAATCTATTTTTTTTATTTGATAAATAATTGAAGATTTTACAGCATTACGAAGAATATCTCAGTATCCATCTTAGTCTAATTTTTCAAGAAACATCCTCTTCAATCACCCCTCTTCTTCAATGATCAGGCCATGGTAAGAAAATGATCAAGTTTGACAAGGTCAGGCAACTTTTACTTAATATCTACTCCTAGTATCTTAAAACATTGGTATCTAGAGCATTTATCCATAGTTCAAACTTCTTTGAATAAAATGCTACCATAGTATTGTTAAGTACAACATGAATAGCAATCAATAACTGCCATGGGATGTCTTCACGAACACACTTAATCAGGTTAGAGGTAACATAAACATAAGATCAACTAATAAGGAAAAGAGACAAAATGCCAACCCTTGTTGTAAATCACTTTGATTGGGAACTCTCTTCTTGCTATTTCAATTACCCTTTAGCCAGTCACTGCTTCATCTCGATGATTACAAAATACATGTACCTCCTACATTCTATTCCTAAACCTTTTCGCAGTCTAATTAGAGACTAATAAAATAATCATTCCCATTAATCAAGGGTATTGGATAATTGGAAAGGATGGACAACATACTAACGTAAGATTTTATATTATTTGCTCAAAGTGGCTTCTCTCAAGATCCAAACCCCTGTTTTCACAGTTGATAACCCGAGCATTTTACCCGTGCAGTAGGCAGTGGCCCCTTCCTAGTACATATGAGTTATAACCCATTTGAACCACAACCTCCATAAAACACAACCATACTGAGTGCAAACCTTTATATATATAAATTTCATTAAAGGGTGTTCTCCCTAAAGCCAGATCAAGAGGGTCTGCTATATAATCAATACTGAGTGCAAATTAAAAATATAATCTTTGTTGCAATAAGATGATGTTAAAATTTGAACAATCAAACTATGGTCACAATTTGCAGCATTAGATCATAAAATCATGACATTGCAGAACAAGGACCAATCGTCAAGATAAATTAACGGGAGATCACATACACATTGATCAAAATTCAAATAGCTAGAGAAGCACACAATACCTTAGTGAAGACGCCAACACCGCACTCGATGAAGACCTTCATCAAGAACAGATCATCTGCTAACAACCGCTCCTTAAACCCTCCAAACTGAAGCAACCATCGTAACAGAGCCGACTTCTCGAGCTCAAAGTACCTCTTAACAATGGATCCGGGAATTCTACCGACCTCAATCGCCGCCGCCAAATCCTTCGGGAGACTGTCCAACGACCGCCCGATCTCCGCCAACACCAAAAACGCCTCCTCCTTGTTCTTATCGCCGCTGTCCCCTCCGCCTCCTCCTCCACCACCGCCTCCGCCTGAGGATTTTCCTCCATTTCCGCCGTCAACGCCGTCGCCGCCGGAGAATGCCAAAACCGGCCTCTTCCTGCTATGATTCGCCGGCCAAGTGAAAATGGCGGCGGCGGCGGCGACTGAGGTGGTGTTGGAGGTGGAGGTGGTAGTGCGGAGGCCTATTGTGGTGAGTGGTGGTGGTGAGTGTGATGAACGGTGGGGATTGACGTTTGCGAAAGTGAGAGAGCGTGCTGAGGGTGTGAAGAAGGCGGCGATCGACATTGTCTCCCCCTGGTCTCTCTTCGTCACTTCTCTCTCCTGTTCGTTCTTATATATATAATTACTATATATACGTGTTTATATTTTCTCTCTCTATATGTATGTATTTAAGTTTGTTGAGAGAGAAAGATGTTTATGCTTTCTCGGCGAGCAAGGCAAACTCCACGTGGATCTTAATGGAGGTGTGATGCACGATACTACTTTTGGTATTACCTGTAGGCACTTCAAGTCTTCAAGCCATGTTTGCCAATTGGAAAAGAAGAGAGTGACTCGAATTAAATGTCACTTATGAAAAATAAGTTTTAATATTTTTTTATATATTAACAGTGAATAAATTATCACAATCAGATGATATGATGTAAGTCCTTTCTTCTATGAGACATATAGATAATATGATGTAAATTACCACAAGAGATTTTAGAGAAGTTAAACTCAAATATTAATATAAGTCATTTCTTTTATGAAAATAGGAAAAATATTTACTTCGCATAAAATACTTACTGGTCAAGACCTAAGTCACATAAAGTAGAAGTAAGAACGAATTTGAGAGCAGGAACGTGAAAGCGGCAAAATTAAGTCACAAATGCTTCGAACACAAGAACGACACCTGTTAAAAAATGATTGTGTGATTATTATAAGTCAATTTATTGTATTTCTTGAATACCAGATAAAAAAGAATACAATAAAAAATAAAAAAGATGGAATAGAATAATTAGGCTTTTTCTTTCACCTTTTGTGGTTTAGTTTGAATGAGAAGAAAGAATAAAAAGTTGAAATGGTTCCCCTATGATTTATTAATTATTTCCCCTTTATTAACTGATGGAACTTTTTTAAATAGCAAAAACAAAAATTTTAAATAAAAAAGGAGAAATGAGTCTTCTCTCTCCTCTCTTTCCACTTTTTGCAACCTAAGAAAAGGACCTTTTTAATTTCTTATTATTCCATATATATTCTCTTTCCATTCACCCAAAAATAAAAAATTTGTCAAGTTTATATATATATTTTTTTGAATGTTAGTGATATTACATACTTTTCAAATATTGGAGTAATTGTGTTGTGCACTACATTGTAATGTCCGATACCAAACCTGGTCTCACCGAACAAGTATTGTTTGGGGGCGTGTGGAACATGGCCAGAGGCGCGCGTGAGCATATATATCGCTTTAAATGGAAGGTTTGGGTTGGTGAGTTGTGAGAGTATCGCTACTCTAGTCGTTTAGTGTGTGTTAGGTTTTTGAATTTTGACATTTTTCAAACATTGCTCTTTGCCCAACAAAATCTGCTTCTCTCTACATATTCTCTCCGTATTTTACCCCACTTCCCCTTAAATTATTACATGGTCGATGATCCTCGCCGGCCAATCGCAACTCGAAACGGAAGTAAAAATTTGAATAAAATTACAAACAAATTTATTTATATATCGAGTTATAATCAATCGAGACCAAGTAATCCTCAAACATGTAAAAAATCGATCAGTGATGGCCAATAATAGGCCAATTTTATCCTTCTTTTTTTTTTTTGCAAGAATAGTTTCTTGTTTTGGGTATTTTTAGCCAAAATTTATTTGATAAGATAAATTATATTGTACGTGTAATTACTAAAAAAAATCTCTAAGAAAATTCGAATCCCAACTTTCAGGATATCAAATGAGAATCTTATGAGTAGGCAAACCGTGGGAGTTTTTAAAATGGTAAAGATTGACAACTGTAGCAGCAACTGGTAAAAGTTTGATATCATTGTTCTCTAAAATTATTTCTAATTGAGTTTGTCACGGCCTCTGATATTTTGACACCAAATTCCTTTATGTGATAAACCATTTTTCTTAATTGAGATAATTTTCACCATAACTAAGTTTTTTTTTTCGATAATTAGAGCGTCCGGAACTTTGCTCCTACTAATCCGCAAGACTGGTGTAATAAAAAAAATTGTTTGTGACATGGAGGGCATTATTAGAAGCAATTTAAATAATACCCTGGAAGCTCATGATAAGAGAGTATATTGTGGTAAAAAAATTGCATTATGCAAAATACTAAGGTCTAAATGCTAAATAGTTTAAGATGAGCTGGAAACATCTGGTTGGTTTGATACGACTTCCAGGAACATAGGAAGGCTATGATATATATATATATATATATATATATATATATATATATATATATATAACATTTTTATGTCCAAGTTATTTTATTTTATAAAATTATTGGTGTTCCTCGTGAAAATTTTTGCAGAATTCAAGTTTGAACAAATGGTTGGAAGTTTCTTTCTGGCTGACATGGGACGGATCAAATTTTAGGCCTCATTTGTAAATCAAATTTAGACATTTTGAAAATATTTTTGACGTCATATAAATTTTCTAACACATACACACAAGCGTTCAAAGATTCGGATCCTCTCCTTTGCAGTTCGGAGAAATTATTTCATGGTCCATGATTCCGATCAATCACTAAATAACACACGAGCTAACTACACTAAAATAACGCAATTGCTTACATGTCGTCTAGTGATTGATACCATGTAATAATTTTTCATATAATTTGATGTTCAATATCATCTTGTGCACTTTAGGTAGACAATGCAATACATTTACATTAACAATGCGTCTTTGGTGCAATATTCACGAACAACCAGAAACGCATTTACATCAATGATATAATATTCATGCAACATATTATATCCTAGTGTAAATGAAGAATGCAACATGTTACATTCTCCATTTAATATCATTATGTAAATGTTGCCTGGTTGAAGCATCCAATCTGTCTAGGCCGGCTTAGGAATTTAAGCCCAGCCCATTATGGGTTTAGCCTGATTTATTAGAAACTATTTTGTTTTTCTATTTTCAAATTGGGTGGGCCTAGATATGGCCCAGCCCATGGTCTAGGTTTAAAATATTGTGCAGAATTGAACAAATGGTTGAAGTTCTTTCTGGCTGACATGGGACGGATCAAATTTTAGGCCTTATTTGAAAATCAAATTTAGGCATTTTGAAAATATTTTTGTGGTATAATAAATTTTCAAACACATACACAGAAACATTTGAAGATCCGGATCCTCTTGTAGTTTGAAGAAATTTTTACATGGTCCGTAATCCCAACCAATCACTAGATGACACATAAGTTAAATAAAGCTAACACTAAACTAACGTAATTGCTTACATGTCATCCAGTGATGGGTACCATGTATTAATTTCTCATACAATTTGATGTTTAATATCATCTGGTGCACTTTAGGTAGACAATGCAAGACATTTACATTGACAATGCATCTACGGTGCAATATTCACCTAACAGCCTAAAATACATTTACATCGATGATGAAATATGCATATTTCATCATCGTGTAAATAGAGAATGCAACATGTGTATTATTGGGTAAATGTTGCACTATCGATTTAAATGCACTAAAGGTACCCGAAAATTATCCTGGTTGAATCATCCAAACTATCTGGGCCGGCTTAGGAATTTATGCCCAGCCCAATCTAGGTTTAGCCTGATTTATTAGAAACTATTTTGCTTTTCTACTTTCATTTTTGGGTGGGCCTAGATATGGCCCATCCCCTGGTCTAGTTTTAAAAATGTTCATTATGTTGGGCCGTTTATGATATGGCCTAGTCAGAGTCCAATCTTTGGGCGAAACTTGCCCGGGCTTTTTACATGAAATTAGTTCAATTTCTTTTTTTTTTTTTTTTTTTTTTTTACAGTAATTTCAATTAAGGAACCAAACTGAATCCAGCCCAAACCCGAACTGATTTTTCACGAAAGAGAATTGTATTTACAATTAGAGCTGGATTTGGGTTAAAAATTTTCAAACCGAACTTGAGTTTGAGTTGAGATGTCAGAAACTTAGAAATCAACCCGACCTGAATTTTGATGCAACTTTTATATTTATGTATTAAATATATTATATAATTATAAGTGTGGTTGACCTTTTTTTATAAAGATTTTATATCTTGAATTTAGCTGGATTGAAGTCCGAATTGCTTCTCTAATTTCATCTAGGCTGTCAGTTGAAGCCCATCCAAGGAAGCCCAAGCCAATCCAAGGAGTTCAAACTGTGACCAAACCAAATTCCTGTACTAAACATGATTTCACAGGATAGGGGTAAATAAGTAATTGCATTAGTATTTTAATCTATTGTGTTTATTTATTTTTTTATTTTTCATCTTGGCAAGAAACTCACTGAAATTCTAAGGAGACTTATGCCTCACCTTCTACTTTGAAATGTGATTAAGTATTGTTAGAATACAAGTCTTGTTTTAATTGATTGTGTTTAGTATTTTGAAATTTATTTATTAAATTTATTTATTTATTTTGGTTAGGTAAACACATTCGGCACCGACAATTCCCCACTAATGATTTGAATTTCTCACCTCTCTTTTGAAAAAAGAAAAGATTATACCAAGTTGACGAATGATCCTTAAAAATGAAATATTGGAAAAAGTAATTTAATAATTGAATCAATATGATTTGTCAATTTTAATTATAAGGTTTGAAGTCCACTTTATCAAACATAATGTGAATGTTCTTTCATTCTTTCAATATCATGATTTTGCTGATTTTCCAACCCCAACGGACGGTAGGTTTTTTCCACATTGAACAAATCCAAGTTACACAACATAAGTAAAGGGACTTTTGGTTCAATTTTTTTTTTAGAATTATAGAGGATAGAAATATATAAGTAATTTAAATTTCATTTACAATTTTTTGAAAATTATTTTTCTTAATATAGTTATTAAAAACCCGATTTAAAAATAAAAAATAAAAAACAACCATTTTTTTGTTCCTTGCATACACATAAAAGGATTGTGGCCCTTGCGGGTAATAAACATCCTCATAATATGCATATGGATTTTTTTGTCAGTGGAGCGATTAAAAGACTAAAGTGCTCTTATGTAACTAAAAAAAAAAAAGGTTAAAAACTAAGCAAATGTAAAATGACTAAAATGCATAACCCTAAATACAAAGAATAGGAATGTTATTTGTCTAAAATGTAAACATTAGCGATGTTTTTCTCACTTTGCCCTTTAAATCGATAAGGCTTTGGAGTAGCTCTACCGCTTCGAAGTTGAAAAACCTTGGAGACTATGGAGAGGCCCCGAG